TCCTACATATTCTACGAAGATCTTTATCGGTCAAAACGCATAACAACATACGTTGTTCCCTTTGTCATCGGTATGTTACTTGCCCGAGATTCGATCGTTAGTATCTCAATACCTAGTTCAATCTCGTTACCGGCAAGTCTCTTTACTCGTTCCGTAATGCATCATCCCACAACTAACTCATTAGTCACATTGCTTGCAAGGCTTATAGTGATGTGCATTACCGAGAGGGCCCAGAGAAACCTCTCCGACAATCGGAGTGACAAATCCTAATCTCGATCTATGCCAACTCAACAAACACCATTAGAAACACCTGTAGAGCACCTTTATAATCACCCAGTTACATTGTGACATTTAGCACACAAAGTGTTCCTCCGGTATTTGGGAGTTGCATAATTTCATAGTCATAGGAACATGTATAAGTCATGAAGAAAGCAATAGCAATATACTAAACGATCAAGTGCTAAGCTAACGGAATGGGTCAAGTCAATCACATCATTCTCTAATGATGTGATCCCGTTAATCAAGTGACAACTCATGTCTATGGCTAGAAAACTTAACCATCTTTGATTCAACGAGCTAGTCAAGTAGAGGCATACTAGTGACACTATGTTTTGTCTATGTATTCACACATGTACTAAGTTTCCGGTTAATATAATTCTAGCATGAATAATAAACATTTATCATCAAATAAGGAAATAAATAATAACTTTATTATTGCCTCTAGGGCATATTTCCTTGCATGTAGTGGGCCATAATTGGCTCGTGAAAGAGAGAAATAGTGAGGGAGAGGTAGTTGTCATGGTGAGATTATTGTAACTGAAGTGGTGATATGGCAATATTGATGTGGACAATCTGCATGTTGGGAGAATGCCTTGGAGTGTGGATGAACTTCTTAAGAATGTAGGATGTAGGATTAGTTACCTATATTTTTCTAGTTTGGTATTAACTATCCCATAATTTTAGGAGCATGCATATATTGATTGTTAGATATAACACTAAATGGCAATCCATTGCATACAATGCTTCTTTGTCTTCTCTAAATGACATGTTTCTCTTTTTGCAAGAATCAAATGGCATGCATTGCATAAGAAAAAACCATCCAATCAACCATTGGATACTTTTTTTAGGAACCAACGATTGGATGGATATTAAGAAGATCACATTTTGCTTCACATACATCATATCAACAATTCAACTAAGTAATTAAAAATAATATAACTTTTTTGAGGAACAAAAACCATTCAACTAAGTAACTTTTTTGAACCTCACACTGAACAAATGTCGTCGGAAAGCCTGAAATAGTAAAATCATAAAACTACGAGCTCTAGTGGCAAGTCAAGGACTTGAACCCTCCACCACAAGGAATCTAACCATTTTTTTGAATTTAGGAATCTAACCATCTAAGCTACGATAAGTTCGCGATTCAACTAAGTAACTTTTTTAGGGGGGGTGGGGGCAAGTTTTATTCATCAAACCCCTCATGGAGTGGGATACAATTTTGGTCATGAGACTGGCCAAACCAAACGGGGCGCCCAGAGCCTAAAGTTATTGCAAACTTGGTTAGACTAAGTGCTTCATAATTAACATCATGACCTTCAAAAATAAATTTACATAGAAACAAAGACGCTCTAGAAGTGATCTCGCTAATGATAGCCCCGTAGTCGCCTCGGGATGATTGATGATGTCTCCAACAACTTGTTTTCAGTCAGATGAGATGATAAACTATTGGATGTGAAGGTCTTCTGCAAGGGCCATCGCCTCCCTACATGCAATTGCTTCAACCGTTGCTGGATCACACACCCCGCTAATGACAAGGGCCAAGCTCCCTAGGAAAGAGCCTTCCCTGTCCCTGCATACTGCGGCTGCTCCTCCTTCCCTTCCAGCCTGGATACTAGCAACATGAATATTTGCATACCAGGCGGCGGTGCCGTCGCTGACCCGTGATCGATGCATGACCAGAAAAGCCAGGCGATGGGCATATTCCAGTAACCATCTCAAGCTTAAAGATGCACTCCCTCCGTTCCTAAATATAAGTCTTTTTAGATATTTCACTATAGAGTAGGCCCTGTTTGGTTCATAAGTCCTAGGACTTTTTTTAGTCCCAATTTATAAGTTCCAAGTCCCTAAAAAGTCTCTATCTGTTTGGTTTCTGGGACTTATAAGTCCTTATAAGACCATATTACAACTATAAGTCTCTATAAGTCCCTTCTTGAGAGTCTTATTTCATAAGTCCCAAATGCCCACTTTAAGTCCCTATAAGTCCCTCGTATTTGGTTTAGATGGGATTTATAGGGACTTTTTTAAGTCTCTAAACCAATAAGTCCGTGGAAACAAACACCCTCTATATTCGGAGATAGGCGTTTTGGAGGACGAGCTACCTGACACTCGTTATCTCGACCAGGCGTTGTGCCGCTGTGATGTGTGCGGCTTCCATTTCCGGTTTCTATACGCGGGGTATTTATATGGGAAATACACTGGTGCCATGCGCTGGAGCGCTTGGTTTGCACATGAGACCATATTAATGTGGCTGTGCAGCGGGGAGCTGTCGCGTCAGCACATCGAAGCAAGTGGGCGAGGTGTCTGATGGCTGCGGCCTGTGTCCAAGCAGAGATGCTTGACGCATGGAAAAGAAGATGCTGAGAAAGGGATCTCGCCGGAAAAAAAAGCCATGCATGCAGATGAGCTACGTGATGCTTTTGGACAGCTAGTGTGATGCTACGAAGCACAATAACGTGTTTTGGCGCAAATCCTTTTTATTAAAACTGTTTTGGTTCAAATCTTTGAACAACATAACACGGTGCTTGACAAATATAAAATAAAATAAAATCAATGAGTTACCTGATGTGTGTAATCGATTCATTAAGATTAAAATAGGATGGTACCAGGTAGGGCTGTATTCCTTTTTACATCTTTTTTGGGAAAATACATTATCATAAAAATACTAGAGTGCATCTTATTTGTGCCGCGTAAGAAACAATCCGTATTAAGTGTGGTTGGCTTAAGAATTGAAGGGTAATGATAGTCATACTGATTGCAACCTTTGGCACAAAAGAAAGAGAAAAAGGTATCATTCCGTATGTGTGATTTATCTTGTCTAGCGAGTATCCGGTAATTAATTTTTGAGCTGTGAGAGTTCCTTGGGGGTTTCACTTCTCGAAAACACCGATTAGTACACTCGAAATGGCATGGCGTCGACATGAGAGGCAATGATGCTACCAGAACTACTTTGCATACACATACATTATGTGTCCTATCACTATGTGATGCCTAATCAAGTGATCGGCTGCAATTTTATTCTGTGCATGGATGGCTCAATTGCATTGTCGTACAATAATCGTATGCATGGTGACCTATGCGTGATGCCATGGCATCGAAAACTTAATGAGGATGCATTGTTCAATTGGTAAGGGAATTATTACTACTCGGTGATGGTCGTACTAGGGATGGTTGTTTTTAAATTAAAGGGCTTATATAAAAATCAAACAATTCGAATGCATTTTTTTGTTAATGTGTGAAAATTTGATCATAGACTGAATGAGTTAAGTGTACGTGTGAGGTTGGTCGGTGTCCACTCATTCGTGTATCACATGCAGGCTAGCCGCACCTATATCCTCTTACATATCATGTTAACGAAGGGACCATGTTAACAACACTAAAAAGGGTTGTGAGGAAGTCAATACAAAACCAATTTTGTCACCAGAGTTTGTGACAGAAAATGTGATCCAAAAATAATGTAGAAAGCATCTACACCATGCACGCAAAAATATGAGGGCAAAGGTTATTCCGAGTAGCGATGAGAACAATTCCAATTATCCATAATTTGGCTAGTTTTTATTGACGTTCTGGAGTGGTTCGTGAATCCAATGCCTTTTGATCCTGGATATCAGAGTAGGACGAACGAACCGGCCTCCGCGGATATCTTTGCTTTGGAATAAAACTTTGCAATGGTGCACCGGTGGCATCGAACGACGGTGTGCACGAAGACATTTCCATCGGTGTCACTGGTTTGTTACTTGCTGGAGAGGGAGGGTAGTAATGACACCTAGTTGTGTGGGACGATTGTAGTGTTGTAAAAATGGTCCATGTTCGTGTGTCTTGTGCGGCACCTTTCAACATGATGGGTGAGAGACGATGGAACGTGTGCCTGGCCTGGCAGTGCAGCGCTGTCGAACGGGAAAATACTGTGCATAAATGGAGAATACAGTGTCATACAAAAGCGTCTCAGGTGAAATAAGTTGAGGGAATACTGGACTGGACCGGATCCTTATGAAGACTGACGTGCCAGATAACGGCCTGCATGGTGCTCGACCTACAAACAGCATTTTTGCTATATTCGGATGTATATAAACGCCTTTAGACTATATAGATTCACTTATTTTGCTGCGTATGTAGTTTATAGTGGAATATATTAAAAGACTTAGGCTGCGCTCGGTGCGGAAGTGGATCCTTTAACACGAAGGAGGAAAGTCACCAAAGCACAGTATAAGCTAGTGTAAAACATAGAAGGAAAGTCACGGGTACTGTAACGAACACTGTATTATCTAAGTAGGTACTATACACAGTTACTGTTAATATAAATAAAATTAAAATTAATTTTATTGTACCACAATTTTATTTGTATGTAATTTTGTAAATGCATAAAGTAAATTTGTAATTTGCAAATTAATTCAAGTCATTTTAGCCTTAATTGTATGAAAATAAAGGAAAGAAGTTAGGAAATTATAGCTTAGATGACTTTCCTCCTTCAAGTTAAGTTAGAGGATCCACTTCCGTTCGGCGCACGGGAACTTCACAGGAATTTTGCAGGCCATATTGTCACCGGAATTAATTCCCGTAAGACCGTTCGCTCCACAGGAACTTTGGTGGGCTTTCCATGCACTAAAAAAGTCCGGGAGCCTTGGGCTGACGTGCGTGCTAGGTCGGCCATATCAGCTTTCGGGCTTGGGCTGGGCTCCAAGCTAACGGAACAGAACGGAACGGAGAAAGGAAAGAAGACGGCGATGACTCCAGTCTCCAGCACAACTGTCCAAGGCAACTCCGGGGGAGGGGAACGAAACGCATCCGGCGGAGCTACCATGGCGTCGTCGCCGCAGCAAGGCCAAGGCCAGGTCCAAGGCAGCGGCGGCGGCGGCGGCGTATGCCCGGCGGAGCAGTTCTGGTCGCTGCTGGACAAGGCGGACCGGCGCTTCGCCCGGGTGCGGGACCTGCCCCTCTTCGGCCGCCAGGAGCCCGCGGAGTACGGCAAGGCCTTCCGCATCTACACCCAGCTGTGGCGCATGCAGCAGGAGCACCGCCACCGCCTCCTCGACGCCGGCCTCCGCCGCTGGCAGGTCGGCGAGATCGCCGCCCGCATCGCCCACCTCTACTACTCCCAGTACCAGCGCACCTCCGACACCGCCCTCCTCTCCGAGGCCTTCGTCTTCTACCACGCCGTCCTCGACCGCGCCTACTTCCTCGACGACCACCTCGGGGCCTCCACCAAGCACCTGCGCTTCCTCGCCAGGTTCCTCCTCGTCGCGCTTATCCTCTCCCGCCGCGCGCAGACTGTACCCCGCCTCGCCGGCCAAATCCGGTCGCTCCTCGACGAATCCAAGAAGACCCTCCAGGTCCAATTCAATTCTTCCCCTTTTGTCCCTCCTCGCTTCCCGATCCCGATGCAGTTACCCCGCTCTTCATTTCTCTGGCTCAAATTAAGAAGATGAAATGTTGCAGGAAGCTGATTACAGGGAGTGGAAGCATGTCGTGCAAGAAATCACGAGGTTTCTAAAGGCTGACTCGCCCTTCATGAACAAGAGACCTCTCAGGTACAGCTATGCATTTGATCCTCCCCCGGAAATTCTTCCCACCATCCCACCTACAGTCAAGAAGCGCGGTCTGCTCTTAAGCGATGCCATCCTATGCAGCTATTATCATAACGAGGTAATGCTTCCTTGGTTTCTCGCAGTCAGATGCATCGTACGCTCTTTAATTTTTACTAGCGGAACATCATGTATCTATGTGTTCCCTTCAGGTCAAATTTACCGACCTCACTCTAGACACATTCAGAATGCTTCAGTGTCTTGAATGGGAACCATGTGGTTCCTTTGCACAAAACAATGGTTACAGCGCCCATGATGAAAGTGGGCAAAATCACCCCAATCTCCTAAAAGATCTGAGAGACGCTGCGTTGCCCCCGAACCCACTGAAAACAGTTCTCTATCGCCCCTCGGTGCCACATTTCTTGAAGGTCAGTTTCTCATTTGGCATCTTGTCAACTCAATGTTTGATTTATTGTCTTCGTCCTGAATATACACACTGCTCATTGTTACTCAATGCACTGGTTTGGTCCTAGGAGAAAACCTGTGGACCAAGCTCTTCTAGATACATTTCAATTAGGAAGTGGAAGTGTAATTTGTAAATGGCAGCCAGTGTATGTTTCTTGGAATGATCAGAACAGGCTAGTGGGAAAGAATTGAAAAAAGTAGGGAATTCTGCAAGATATGTACATGATGCTACTAACTAATCTGAATTACATGACGAGGAAGCATGACGATGACTTGATGAGGGAAGATAATGCAACTAAACTGATTCTGTTTGTTGATTTGTTCCATTATCGATAATACCATCCTCTCCATTATCCGCCCATAATAACCAACAGTCCTTTACACCCATAGCAGCTAGGAATTCTAACCCGAAATATATTTGAGGCATAATGGTATTATTGATTCCTGGGGTGCTAAGCTATGCAAATGATGCAATAGAGAGATGATTGCTGTTGAATAGAATGGCAATGTTTGGTGCATGCCCTCTAGGGCCTCCTCTCATCCGTGCCCTCCTTTTACGGTCGAACATCCAAATTCTTTTTTTCTTTCACTTCACAAGAAAATATAGTTATATGTACTCCTATGTTTACGCCATTTTATCCTAAATGAAATATTTGCCTGGATAAAAAACATTTACGATTGAAATCCAGGTCCTTGCCACCAAATGTGAGGAGCTCCCATTGAATACTATGATGTTGATATACCTTTCGGCTGCAGGTTGGTGCCCTAGGCTTGTAGAACTAAAATGTTATCAGCTGTGTGTTAGGGAGTTATTCTAGTTAGCGTTCAAATATGATAATTTCTTTCAGGCGAGGTGGGATCCTCTGGACTTGGTCCCGATACAAGCGAGAGGGTTGTGAACAGCTTTAGTCAGTTTGACATATCTAATACCAGGGCCATCACTTCAAAGGAAGATAAAGAACCATGTCTTTGGTTAGGTTGCCGTGAAGGCGAAGGTATTTTTTTATATTCTGAGTTCATTCGATTATGTGTCTCTAATGCAGTACATAACTAGTTTTACAATGCTGAGTTCATGCGATTGTATGTTCAATATCTCTAATGCGGTACAGAACTATTTTGATGGCATAGGGTTGTTTGAAGTTGCCTTTATACAGACTTAAGTATGTATATGTGTTTTTCAAAAGAAGTGTATTGTTTCTGATACATGTTCAACATCTAGGCTCAAACTGCATATACCCTTGTGATCTGATCCCGTTTACAAGGAGACCTCTCTTTTTGGTGATTGACAGTAACATCAGCTATGCATTTAAGGCAGGTTTGTTTACTCTCTTTTTTTTGCTGCCATATCTATTATTCTGGCTAGTGAATACCGAATATATATTCTTAGTGGAAGTGGAGTATCCATGATCGGTGGATGCTTCATGCGGAATATTGTATTGCTTCCTTGAGATAAAGCAGAGGTTACTATGCACATAGACAAGCTTATATTGTAATACCCCCTCCGATACATATTAATTGTCACTCACTTAGGACAACTTTAGTACAAAGTTCTACTAAGTGAGCGACAATTAATATGGATCGGAGGGAGTAACATTTTAAAGTTCTGTTCAGATTTGGTGCTTTTCGCAGCATCCTGGCAAGACATGTATTTTATACTTATCTAAATGGCATTCTATGGTTCTTGTTTTCATATTCACAGGGCTTTTGCCATATGGCTCTTATTGTGGAACAAAGTTCCTGATGCATTTTTTTTGTTTGACATCAAGTTCCTTCTGCATTTTCTTATTCTACAATTCACTTTCCTCCTTTTCTCGTTTTCTTTCTTTTTTGTTTGACTCTCATATTTGTAATCTTACCCTCTAATCTTAAATGAAAAGGGAGCACCTGTGCCTTTTGCCCGTAAAAAAATATGTTTCTTTATTTCTTTTTATTATTTATAATATGATATGCTAGTCCTTTTTGTTCCATCAGTGATTTTGTCAATGCTAATTGCTGTATTTAAGCACTGCAGTCAATTCATGGGGCTGAAAAAGGGGAGACAGCTGCCATGTTACTTTCTCCAAGCTCCCGATCTTGCGCTGTAGGATTCAGTGGGGACTCTACTCGGCAGAGTGGTAGTCAATTTACTATGTTCCTCACAGCTCCATTGCAAGCTTTCTGCTTTCTGATCGGCAATAATGGGCTGGACATTATTGACAAGGTTGTGTTTTTATTTTGTGACAAATTTCTTATTCCTGCCGGCACTACATTTTGCAGCCTGAGAATTGATATGAACTTTTTTCTGTAGGATTATAACAAAGCCGAGGAGCTACTATCCTTGTCATTGAATGAATGGGCCATGACTTTGGTTGCTTCGTCTTCACTTGACCCTGCCTGGGTTGAAGTTTTAGGCGATCCACTCCTGAGGCGGTTGCTTCTCAGGTTACCTAGCTTGTCAATCTGTGATACTACTATTCCCCGCTCCAGTTCCAGTCCTGGGGAACAACAACTCAACCGAAACCTTGGTAGTAAGTTCATTTGGGTTGTTTCTTGCAGGTTTATCTTCTGCCGAGCCACTCTTTCGCTGTTCAAAGCGAGCAACGATAAGGCGGAATGCCTGCCAAGCTGCGTGCCTCCATTGCCGGAGTCGGTTGGGGGAGAAAGCATGCTGTCGCAATGCTGTGTGATGCGAGTGGCATCTTTCTTGGGCGCCGCTGACCAATTCTCGTTTGCCGAGGTTACTACATGGCCTGACATTGATGAGCCCACCAGCAGTGGAGGTGCCGACAAAGAGTTATGAGGAGAAGATCCATCGGCCGTATCATGGATCCGTTTCTCCTCGGAGCCGCTCTTGAGATTTCTTCCTCCTGAACTGCTAGTAACAGTTGTTGATTTGTGACCTCCCGTGGAACAAAGCGAAAGTTATAGCACCATTCACCCCAGTGTGACATTAGTCAAATTTGACTAGAGAATAAAACCTAAGTACTTGATTGGTCTTGTAAAATCGAATTGTGAGAGTTGCAACTGAATTTTGACGTCGCGAGCAAAATGATCGAATGTGCAGAAGCGGCCAGAAAATGACAGCCCAATGCAAACTGCAACAAGTTCTTTGGAATGCTGACTGTCAAACAAATCAGAGGGAAATTTGGAAAAGCAGCGTACATGTTAAGCCATGAAAGGCAAATGGGATTCAGGTCCGGACCTTTTCCCTTTTTGGGGTTTTGGATTGTCATCAAAACCACGTTCGGGCTCCGGCACTCTTGCCAAAGCTCTCTCGATGACCACGACGTGGAACAAATGGAAGCAGTGGCAAAGTGGCAGCGACTTTGGCGTTGTTGAGTGCGCCGTTGCAGCAGTGTCCAGCGCTGTTGACCTGAAAAACCTTTCAAGAGCAGAATCACGACTCCTCCAGCTCGCACAGACACTTTTCACCTTTTATTACTTCGACGTCTTACACCATCCACAGCCGGATACACCCGATCAGGCCCTTAAACACCTGCGGACGTACCCGTGTCCGTGGCAGTGACCGAACACCCCTCATTTGGCTGCTTCCACAAGTGTAGAGGGACGGAGAAAATCACCATTTACGCGTCAGCCGTTCCCCTTGCAGCCGTTGGTGCGGTTGTACACACCCCTAGGGGGGAGGGGGGCGTCATCGTTGGAGCGGGAGCCGTCGGAGCAGATTTTGCCCGTTCGCCTCCGGAGAAGGCGATCCTGCTCCTTTGCATGTCGTGCCACCTCCGTTGTTGCCTCACGCTCCGACAACTCGATGCCGAGCCGAAACGCTTTGGCATTCTTGCAGCGGAGCCGCCGCGCATCCGTCTCCTCATCGTCAAGGAGCAGTGGGGGACCGACGCGAGGAGCACGTCCTCTGGATCCATAGGCGCGCGCATGCCTGCCCACAAATGCGGAGCCCGGCGCCAGCAGCAGGGCCCGTGCATCGGAGCCGGCGGGGGTGGGGGTATGGTCCGCCTTAGCGCCAGCGAGGAGCTTGAGGCGGATCCGGAAGGCCTTGTCCTCGACCGTCCGGAGTGGGGACGCCGGTTCGCGCTTCACACGGTGGCGTGGCGGGGACGACGGTTCCTCCTTGACGCACATCGGTGATGGTGCCGACGGGCCCGTGTGAAGGAGCGAACGCTCCATCATTATCTCGATCGGACGGACGAATTCTTTGTCTGTCACAGCGGCCTCTGAGAGAAGGTGGGGCCACTGTAGCTGTGGCTGGTCCTCCTCTTCAACAGAGGAGATGACGATCTCCTCCTTGTCGGAGGGAGGCGGGCATCGTGGATGCCGAAGGTCCCGGAGAGCGAGGACGGCGGCGCCAAGAACCACCGGACGAAGAGCTTCCACCGCCTCCGCCTGCCGGCGCGGAGCACCATGACTTCGGCATTGCCGTTGGGCTCGGAGAGGAGGAGGGGCTCGGGCACGGTGACGGGGAGGGGGTGCACCTCTCTGCTTCGTCGGCACATGGCTTAAATTGCCGCGGCAAGCCGGCCGAAGGGGTGATCAGCCCAGTTCAATGTGGTGCAGCGACCGGAGTTGGTGTCTCGAGATGCGGCGTCCGCATTGAAGCGTCGACGCCTGACAGGTCATGCCCGTTAGTGTCGCCCTCCCGTCCGGTCAAATCACAGCATCAATGTCGACCGCTGCATGCTCTGGGCCGGCATAAATGCGGCACGTGCGTTCAATGGAAATCGCGGGAGAGGCGGTTGTGTTTTCTTTGGTGGGCTACGGCGGTCAGATGCGGGCGTGGCAGCGGTCCAGACGCTCGCAAAGCCCCCCCCCCTACTGCATGCTCCGGGCTGGCATAAATGCGGCATGAGTGTTCAATGGAAATCGCGGGAGAGGCGGTTGGGTTTTCTTTAGTGGGCTATGGCGGTCAAATGCGGGCGTGGCAGCGGTCCAGACGCTCGCAAAGCCCCCCTACTTTATCTCTGGTTTGCGGGAAAAAGTATGTCCGGACCACCCGGCGAACCAATACAGACCCGCGTTGGATGGCACAACACGTCCGGACTACGCGGTCCAGACGTATGCGGGCAGTTTGAGGGCCCGTTGGAGATGCCCTTGGACCATCTACAACCGAATACACCGAATCCGTCCCCTCAAACGCCTGCGGACGTATCCGAGCGTGTCCGCAGCAGTGATCGAACACCCCTCATGGATACTCCCGTTGTGTTCCTCATATTTAACCCACAAAATCCATGCTACATAGATGAACAAGCTTAATAGCAACAAACAGATTAAATGTATTCGATACAAAATGATCATAGTTCATCGTCAGACAAAAGGGTCAAAGTTCATCGCCGAAGAGTGCAAGTTAATACTAAAAATAAAAGTAAAAAGGAGAAGGACGGAGACATCACCATTTCCATGCCAGCCCCTTCCCTTTGTGGTCGCCGGTGCAGCTGTACCTACCCCCCATGTGTAGGCGTCGGCGGCCGGAGGGGCGTCTCGTAGGAGCTGGAGCCACCGCCAGTACTATCCGAGTCGTCGTCGGAGCAGATTTGGCTTGTCCACCTCCAGAGCAGGCGGTTCTGCTGCTTTGCATGTTGTGTCGCCTCCACCGTTGCCTCGTGCTTTGACAGCTCGATGACGAGCCGGAGCGCTTTGGCATTCTTGCGGTGGAACCCGCCGCGCATCCATCTCCGCCATCGTCAAGGAGCGGCAGAGGACCGACAAGAGGAGCGTGTTCTTTGGATCCACAGGCGGGTGCACGTGCCCGGTGCGTGGCCATCACCTCTCTTGCTGTCGCCCTCTCCTCCGCCCGCTGCCGCTCATGGCTTGTTGCCCATGCCTCAGATTCAGGCGTCCTCATCTGCGGCGGCGTGGGCACCATGTCCCAACAGTTCTGGGG